TTTTAATGGATAAATTTTTGCTTGTAACTTACTGGATGCAATTTAAACTAATAAGGAAACTGTTTTTGGGTTTTTATTATTGAAATATATTGTTTTATTAGGAATTTGCTGCGAATAAAGAACCAATTTATCAGCTGTTCATGAAACTTGATAATTATTACTGGATTTGCGTTCACGTACTTTTTTGGATTGGAGAGTTGCTGGCGAGCTACTGAATAATTTTTTAAACAAACACAACTACTCTTAGTAAGTTTTTTTCTTATTTTTAAAAGACTATAAAATTACTACTTGTATTGCAGCCTCTAGCAGGTGAACAGGCACAGCTTCCAAAACCTATTAAACAAGAAACGCACTTTTACTGACCATTTTATTAACAACCTGGCCAATTGAATAAACTCACCTGGAACTTGCAGCCAAAAATCGCACTATATCGCAGCTTCTCGCTGAGATAAAAAACACAATTCACAAATCTGTGGAAGATAAACATAATTAGTCTTTATTTGCCACTTGGCATAATGTAACCAATTTTATGCCAAGTGGCAAATAAAGACTAATTTTTGCAAAAAATATTATTATATTAAATAAATGAAAAGTCACAACTAAACAGAAATGTCAAAGACAGTGATGTTCACTCTTACGTTTTCAGCACAATACCTGAGAGGAGTTTTTCTAGTGTAGTTTTTGTTCAAGAGGGCATCATTCAGAACAGGGCTACCGAATTTGTCAAAATTACAACAACCCCCCAACTGACATCACCTTGTTTTTATTTCACCATGCCTGCACACAGCTTTCGCAAAAAAATGTAATCCTGTAGTGTTTGAAAACTATCGATAGTGTATACATTCGATGGTTTTGATAGTGATAGTGAAAATATTCGATACAATCGAAAGCTTTTTTTCACTTTGTCGTATTCAATGGCTTTTCTCGCCAAATATGTGAAAATACATTGTCAAATGAAACTTTAAAAAGGGGTTCTCGCTTGACTTATATCAGAATAGATCTTCAGTCGTGTACATGTCTAGCTTAATGGGCTACCTGTCCGGTTTTGGCTCATAATGTAATCGGTAAAGGTATGGGAAAATGAGATAAAGTTGTGTCAAAATATGCCCATTTTGTAACTAGAAATACCATAAAGTGTATTAGTATAAACAAACAGTTCACAACATATAACTTGTGTAAAACAAAAAGTAATTCTTAAGCAAAAAAGAAAATTTTTAAGATCGGATTAAAACCAAATTAATATGGGACCACCTGTCCACCATCATAATAATGTTCCGACCATTTGATAACCTTCTCATTTTTTTGAAGTCGGTTAAAATGAGCTCGTGTATTTCAATAACACATTTTATAACAAAAAAC